ATAAAAGCAGACAAATATAACTTAGAGAGAGATTCCACACAGCTGTAAATCTAAGGAACAATAGCTGCCAAAAGTCTGACCTAGGAAGATGGATATTTTTTAGCCTTTAGTCAAATATACTGGTGTGTATGTTGATGTAGATTTTATATAGCATATACTTGTGATTGGAGAGTGTAATGTTTGTGCTCTGTGTTACAGCTGTTTCATTTATGAATAATGCAGGGAAATTTGCTCATTAAGGAAATTGGAATATATTCATTCATTCGTTTTCTTTCTGCTTAGTCCCTTTATTCATCAGGTGTCGTCACATTGAAATAAACCGCCAACTTACTCAGCATATGTTTTACACAGCAGATGCCCATCCAGCTGCAACCCAGTACTGGGAAACATCCATACACACACATTCACACACAAACACTACGGCCAATTAAGTTTATTCAGTTCACCTATAGGGCATGCCTTTGAGCTGTGGCGGAAACCGGAGAACCAGGAGGAAACCCACGCGAACATGGAGAGAACATGCAAACTCCACACAGAAATTCCAACTGATTCAGCCAGGACTCGAATCAGCGACCTTCTTGCTGAGGCAAGTGCTAACAACTAAGCCACCCTTTCTGAATAACCACTGAGCCACCCTGAATTGATTTTGTAAATGTATCTAAATATTTTACGCACATGAATTTGGTTTGATGCATGTGTACACAGTGTTTTTTTGTCTGTGAATCATTATTGAGACTAATCTAGCTCCATACTGCTGTTCTGTGAAATGGTCATTTGCATAGCCTTATTACAGGGCCGGCGTGTCCATTGAGGCGACCTAGGCAGCCGCATAGGGCGGCAGTATAGAAAGGAGGGCGTCCGCGATACCTCCCTTACCACCCACATCCTCAGTTATGTCCGCGACACCTCCCTCACCACCCGCGTCCTCAGATATATTCGCGCATAGACGACAGAATAGAGAGGGCGGCGTCAGTGACACCTCTGTCAACACCCGCGTGTCTTCAGTTATATCCGCGCATAGGGCGGCAGAATAGAGAGCGCGGTGTCCGCGACACCTCCCTCCCTCCCTCCCTCCCACAGCACCCGCGCGTCCTCAGTTATATCCGCGCATAGGGCGGCAGAAAAGAGGTCTGCGACACCTGACTTCATTTTCATAACCAGTCACTTTCGTTTTCACATTGGGGTTAAGGGGGGTGTGATCGTCCTCTGCCTAGAGTGGCAGTTCAGCTTGCTCCGGCCCTGCCTTACTATTAAACACCTCAAGTTCTAATCTGTATAAGGCCCGTTTACACTAATGCATTTTAGTAACTCTACGGTTACGCCATCCGTCCACACTACGACAGAGTTTTCGAGCGCCGAAAACGGAGCATTTTAAAAACGCTGAAGAGGCCGTTTTCATCCTAAAACGCTGCTGCTCAGTCTCAGTGTGGATGGGGGAAAACGGAGGCGGGGCTGCCGACATTCGCCTCTATGATTGGGGCATTTTCCTCAATATTAAGTAGCCTACACACAGTTAAAGTTCTGCATCCTCTCCTTGTAAGTTCAGACTTCGCAAGTTTGATATGTAAAACAAACTCCCGAGTACACGGGTAAATCTTCAAAGGGAACAGTGTACTGTATAACCTTATTCACATCCTCCTGGCTACGTTGTTTCACAATATCTTAATAATAAAATGAAAACATGATATAAGGAGCTGCTATTTTCATTTTGATATTAGCAACTTAACAGACAGCAGAAATGTTGAGGCGTTGTGCTGCGTATATGAGCGTCATCTTCACTGTATGCGTATTCATAACAATACGGAGGCTATAACATTACTGCCTCCTTTCATTTTCAGTGAAAATCCGAAACATACCCTCTCTTTTGCTGAATATCAGTTTTAATATTCGATAATGGCCTTTATAAAAGTGTAACGTACAATAAGTTTATACATTATAGGAAATAAAGGCAAGCAATTACTCGATATACAGAATGTACGTGGTTACATTAATTATTAACTTATCTTTGCGCTCAGCCAAAACACGTTACCTGAGAACAAGTAATAGATTAAAAAAGCCAAAGTCGGGGTAAATGTTGTTAGATATAGAAATAAAGATGATTAAAATATCACGTTTAACAAATATAGTGAGATTAGATCCAGCGGTAGATCCTACAAACACAGCTCTCATCTGGGTAGATAGGCTGCAGCGCATGCCAGAGTGCGTGTTTCGGTGTGGACAGAGAGCTGTTCAGAAACGCTGGGTAAAACGCTAGTGTGGACGCGGATCGTTTTCATTCTAAAACGCCGTTTTAAAACTAAAACGAACTAGTGTAAACGGGGCCTAAGTGAATGTAACTCACGTTGTCCGAATCCCACAAGCAGCACAGCGTGATCAATCATCCTCGGGTTGCAAAAGATCTTCAGAGGATGAGAAACTCCTTTTCTGTAGAACTAAACAGCAATGCAACAAAAGAGACTTTAGAATGTATTTTGCACAACTTATATGATTGAGACTTTTTTTAAAGATTTGAGACTTTTTTTTTTTTGCATCGCAAACTTGTGCTGCTGCTTTTAAACTTGTTTATTTTATTCGTTATTACACCACCTGACAAATGTCTTGTCACCTATTCAAGTTTTATGAACAACAAATAATAATTTGACTTCTAGTTGATCATTTGGTATCAGAAGTGGCTTATATGAAAGGCAAAGGCCTCTAGATTATGCTAATTTTACCTAAATAAAATATGATCAGGCCTTGATTTTTTATTGTTTAATTAAGACAGTAAGGTCTGACTTTGCTTAGACAAAAGTCTTGTCACTAAACAGAAATAATGTACAGTATAGAAAATAAAGTCATGGTGCAGTGGAAAAACAATGAATATTGTGTATGACTCCCATAAGCTTGGAGGACTGAATCCATACATCTCTGAAATGACTCAGATCACTTATTAATAAAGTCATCTGGAATGGCAAAGAAAGCGTTCCTGCAGGACTCCCAGAGTTCATCAAGATTCTTTGACTTCATCTTCAATACCTCCTCCTTCATCTTACCCCAGACATGCTCAATAATATTTATGTCTGGTGACTGGGCTGGCCAATCCTGGAGCACCTTGACCTTTTTTGCTTTCAGGAACTTTGAGGTGGAGGCTAAAGTATGAGAAGGAGCGCTCTCCTGCTGAAGAATTTGTCCCTGAATTCTGCCACATTTCCAAATGATCAACAAGAAGTCAAGTAAATATTTGTTGTTCTCACAACTGAAATCGACGACAAGACTGTGTTTTGCACTACAAACTCAAAACTCTGCCCAGAACATCATAGTCATTGGTGAAAACAAAAAGGGTTTAAAGCAGTGAAGAGTGAAAGAATAGTCAATTTATTTCTGTATTTTTCTTAAATAATATTTTTGTCATTATCCTTTAAAGCAATAGCTTTTACCAAATTGTCTTTCAAATATTTTGAGTACATATACAGATCATGATGTAGTCAAGTACAGATTAAGTATGTTGTAGGTTACGCAGCAAAATAATTCTGTCTGGTTCTTGAATCTGATTGGCTGATAGCCGTGATATATTTAAGCAATATCAGCACCCGTACAGCCTCTTTACCCTTTGTGTATTACTCCGCCCACATACAGCCAGCAAAAAGCAGACACTACAGATCTAAAGTTAAAAGATGCTTGCTCAGCTGTTTAACTGTCAGCTTATGATTTGAATCCAAGGCGGAAGAAAGTAGTTCCTCAAACAAAAGGGTTTTTGAGACTCTCCATGTTTGATTTTGTTTTTATATACACAATCATGCCTCTAAACTGTTGTATAAACGCAATATCACACTTGTAGCAGTGTGATATGGATGTATATCGCTACTGGTGGGGGCACTAAGGCACTCGGCTTGCGGCCTCGTGCCAACGCATGCCTCCCACCAGTGCCTATATACAGACATATCGCACTGCTACTCGTGTGATATTGCTCATATATATTATTTATTATTATTTAAACCATTAGATAATTGATTTCTGTGCCTATAAAGCAATCACTTTTGTAATTAATGTCTCATTTTTTACCCTAATATTAAATGTGTATATATAACATATTTAGGCATTCAACAGCAATTTACCTGCATGGCAAAAGCGTTAAGGGCAGCAGACACCGGACCATTCTCAGCCAGAAAAGCAGCAATCTCTACGCAAGGTAAGGAGAAATAAAAATACAAGAATTAAAATACAGATTTAAAAAATACACTACTATTTAAAAGTATAAGGTCAGTAAGATTCTAAACGGCATAGGATATTATGTGACTGGAGTAATAATGCTGAAAATTCAACTTAAAATCACAGAAATAAATGATATTCTAAATGATTAAATTATAATAATATATATATTATTTAGCTTTAATTTGTTATTAAAATAAAAGCCTTAGTGAATACCATAGAAAATAATACCATCCCCAAAATTTGATGGGTATAATATTTATTTCTATAACACTTGGTGTGCAGTATTAATCTACATTCCCATTAAAGAAAGATTAACTTATCGCTCACATTTCTCTCCAGACGTTCTGATATAAATATTTGATATTTTCAATTTCCTGCGTTCATTTTCTCTAGTGCAGGTATTCCCATTATCAGTGTTGATTTAATGTGTTCTTCAATTAATTAAGTTTATTGACACATATCGTGTTTTCACTCACCCTTCTCGTCTTTGGGCAGCTCCACTGAGCTGTTAATGTAGGCGGCCACTTTCCCTGTGGAGAAATCACAGCTCTGCTTGTGTCCAGTGTAGCTGTAGTCTGTTTCAGTCTCCAAACCTCCTTCATAGGCAAGAAAGAAAGCACATTTAAATGGCACGTTTATTCAGTCTCACAGATTCCACATAGCTTAAAAATGCCTTACCAAGGTTTTCGATGGCTTCATAAGCGTTAGATGGCAGCCCACCTCCACATGCCTGGTCCAGCTTATCACAGTCCACCAATTCTGTGATGAGAAGGAGTACAAACTAATGAATATACATTTTTGATCAATTAGGTTCAGAATACTTCATGTGTATGCTACAGCACAGCCTTCATCTGATATTATTCATGAAGGACATGAATAAATCTCAAATGATGCAGTGTGAACAAAACTTAGCTTGTTTTCTCACACTTTATCAGTTGTTTCTAAGAAAGAAACACACTATTGTTCAAAATTGTTGTTGTTTTTTTGGCTACATATATATTTTTTAAGTTGTAATAAAAAACAGAGGGGAGAGATAATAAAAATGTTGATTTAAGAAAGTACAAATGGATAAAAAAGGTACAAAAACATTCTTGTAGCTTTTTAGAATGATTGTATCATGTTAACATTATGTTAGAACGCTGACAGGATGTTATTAGCAATTTTAGCAATGCTATCTTTATTAACATGTGAATAAACTGTTTTACTATGTTGCTATCATGCCTTTACAGTACTACAACATACAAGCATATGTTAGTTGAATATTTCTGAACATTTTCTGTATGATTTAACAATGCTTTCATGTTTATTTATAGTATTAGCATGTTTGTTAGCATGTTTTAACAAGTTGTTACTGGTGTTAGCAAGTTTTCGAATTTTGCTAAAATTTAGCACACTGCTAACGGGGTTCACTGCTTGTTAACATCATATAGCAGTGGTCAACAATCTCATTCCTGGAGGTCCGGTGCCCTGCAGGGTTTAGCTCCAACTTGCCTGCCTGGGTGTTTCAAGTATACATAGTGAGACCTTGATTAGCTTGTTCAGGTGTGTTTGATTAGGGTTGAAGCTAAAACCAGCCTGACCAGCTAAAACCAACTAAGACCAGCTTGACCAGCTAAAACCAACTAAGACCAACCTGAATAACTAAGACCAGCTAAAAAGTGGCCAAAACCCCTCTAAAACCAGCCTGACCAGCTAAAACCAGCTAAGACCAGCTTGACCAGCTCAAACCAGCTAAGACCAACCTGACCAACTAAGACCAGCTAAAAAGTGGCAAAAACCCCTCTAAAACCAGCCTGACCAGCTAAAACCAGCTAAGACTAGCTTGAACAGCTAAGACCAGTTTGACCAGCTAAGACCAACCTGACCAACTAAGACCAGCTGAAAAGTGGCAAAAACGCCTCTAGAACCAGCCTGATCAGCTAAAACCAGCTAGAACTAGCTTGACCAGCCAAGACCAGCTTGACCAGCTCAAACCAGCTAAGACCAACCTGATCAACTAAGACCAGCAAAAAAGTGGCCAAAACCCCTCTATAACCAGCCTAACAAACCAGCTATGACCAGCCTGGAAAGCCAGCTAAAACCAGCTTGGGTGACCAGCTAAAACTAGCCTGATCAGCTTAGGATGGTTTAAGCTCGTTTTTCAGTGACATTTAACACATCATGATCATGAATGGTTAGCATGTTTAATATATGACTAGAATAAATGAATGTGTTGCTAGCATTTTTAAACATGTTTTAGCATATTCAACATTGGTTACAAGATTGAACATGTTGTTAGCATTTAGCAATGTTTTTGCATATGTAACAATATGCTAGCATAAAATGGCATTCTGCTACCATTATTTGATGTTGCAAACACATTCCTAACATGATTACCATTTTGTTCCCATTCTAAGAATGTTTCCAATATAGCATACACATCGTTAACTTGAATCACTATGTTGCAAGCAGATTCTTAGCCTGGATAACAAATTGTTAACATGAATTAGCACATTTCCATCATTGTTTCAACCTAAGGCTATTATGAATTGTAATGTTACTAGCATGTTTCCAGCAAGTATAGCACGTTAAAGCTTGCTGATAACATCCATTAGCATGTTTCATGTTTTTGTTTAGCCTTTAGCTAGCACATTCAGCTTCTTAAGTGCATTAGCAGCTAAACTTTGTTTATACCCTGCTCAGAAAGAGAAAGCAGCTGTCCAGTTTTCTTAAACCACTGTCCCTCGATGTTTCCAGTCACAGAAAATGCCCAGCAAGAGCCACACATCCCCTGTAAAAGAACATGTAACACATTAAGCACAACAAAACTGATCACAAATATCACACTTTACACATTGCTCTTCATGATACTAATTTTATAAGCATTTAATTTATCATCACATACAAGCTTATTCAGATTTTGATAAGTTCTGCTGCAAAGTGTACATCATAAAAGTCCATTTCTGTTCTTTGGTACCTTTATTTTGGCCTCTCCTTATTTTTATATGTATAAAACAGTGCTTGTTATGAATTAATTTGCCCTCACAGGCTTTTATCAAACACAATAACCTTCCCTGCCCCCTCGAAACCAATTTTCTTTACTTCAGGTCACATGGAATACCTTTAGGGCGGAGCTATCAGTCATTTAGGATGAGGCTATACACTTATTTCACGCGGCCGCCATTTTAAAGAACCAAAGCGAGGCTGCGGTGGGAAGAAACCCGGAAGTATAGGACGAGCACTGTAAACATTGCAGTAACATGCTGTGTACTACAAACCTCCAGCTGTTGCCGAGATTTCAAAATGCAGAAAATGGTGTAACCATCACTTTAATAATTTTTATTAAGTTTATTTTAAACAATTAAAAGCAATTTAGCATCAAACAACATCACAATCTCAGTGATACGCTTAAGTGTCCTCCTAGGCTTCAGCTCATGGCACTAGTTAAACACCGTGAGGACGCGTTCCTGCTTCAGTCTATGTAACCCAGTGAGTGTTAAACACCGCAGTCCTCTGCAGCACACCCTCGTGTTGTCTGTGATAGTGTTGTCCTGGTACTGAAGTTTTAAACCCGGCTATTTCCCGCTAACATGGAAGCGCTGCTGAGCGCGGATGTCTCGACTCGACTGATCTTCACGGCTTCGCGCTTCCGTCTCCGTGTATCTGTGTTTGGTTTGCACTCAGTTTACCGCTCTTCACCCAGTGCAAACACAGACACACGGACTGGAGCACGAAGCAGCCGTCAAGATCAGTCGAGTCATCAAGCAGATCGCTCGGCTCGTCTGTGTTTGTGCTCTGTATACAGCGGTGGGTGAACTGATGACCTTCTCGGCCAATCACAATCATTTCTGTTGAACACGTGACCACAATGGCAAATCAGCGCTATTTTAAGAAAGCCATCAACATTGCCTTAAATGTTAGCACGAAATTGACGGTTTTTCTTTTAATTCATTTAAGTCTAATATAGTAAAAGGATCAGTTTATTAACTCGAGTTTGATGAATGGCATCTAAAACGTGTGTTTGGGAAAGAAAACGTTAGCTTACTAGTGCCATTTCCCTTAACTTAGCTGAAAATGAGCTCTGATATCCCTTTTTACATTCACCATTCATTCAGAACGGACCTTCGGGTTACCCGGAAGGCGGAGAAATGATAAATCTGTGTCACTTTATCTTCGCTGATAAGATATATAGCCAGTTACACAACATTCCTATGTAACTCCCAATGATACTTCCGGTTTTCTTCCCACCGCAGCCTCGATTTCGCTTTTGAAAATGGCGGCCGCGTGAAATCAGTCTATTAAGGTGTGTCACATTTCTGCATTGCTTTTATTCATTCATCAATCTTCTTTTAATTTAATAGCAACGTCCATCTTCCAAAGATCCAATCGGTTCACAAAGAACAAAATCATGCACTGGCCTTCATTTTTTTCTCATTTTAGGACTGTTCATGGCGATTTTTAAAAATGCCGGACTGACTGCATTAGAGAACCGAACTACAAGTGTGAACAAGGCGTTAATTACACTCATTGATTGATTCTGAATGGTTTACATGGTTAATATGTGCGGACATACCTGATTCTTCACAGGACTGACTGCTCCGTGGTCCCTCCAGTCCCAGGTGTCAGGAGCGGGTGCGCTGGCTGGAATTGCAGGCTTCATCTCTTTCTTCAGACTCCACTGACTCAGCATTGGGTTGAGGTACATCATCCTGAACTCATCCTCTGAACAAATCAATATGAGCAGTACACATTTTCAGAAGCTTGCAGTAGATTAGATGTACAAGTATTTGGCATTCTAAAATTGGGGTGGCTCAGTGGTAAGAACTGTCGCCTCACAGCAAGAATGCTGCTGGTTTGTCCCGGCTGTGTCAGTTGGTGTTTCTGTGTGGAGTTTGCATGTTCTCCCTTTGTTTGCATGGTTTCCTTCAGGTGCGCCGGTTTCCCCCACAGTCCAAAGACATGCACTATTGGTGAATTGGGTAAACAAAATTGGCTGTAGTATATGAGTGTGTGTGTGTTAATGTAAGAGTGTATGGGTGTTTCCCAGTACTGGATTGCGGCTGGAAGGGCATCCGCTGTGTAAAACATATGCTGGAATAGTTGGAGGTTCATTCCGCTGTGGTGACCCCTGATAAAAAGGGACTAAGTCGAAGGAAAATGGATAGATGGCGTTCTAAAAATTGGCTATACCACCTCACTAACTGGTATTTTCCCTCATCATTTGGATTCATAAATCCATACTCATACCTGTGAGGTCGCTGAACTTGGTGATGCCGTACTCAGCTGATCCCTGTTCCAGAGACTGAAGCGTCTGTGCTGTTTTCATATTCTGCTGGAAAATGCGCAAACGCTTCTCTGCCTCTGTGAAGTTTAAAGAAGGGCTTTTTATTGTTTATACATTCATCGAAAATAGCCATTAACTGAATTTTGTTTTGTGAAAACCCTTTATTGTATCCATATTATTGGTACTGTACATTAAAATTTGTGATATTTTATGATCATTGAGATACTAATCGAGTTTTTACTTGGTAGTTTAAATTAACTTTATATATTTTGTCTTAGTGATGGTCTGTTTGTAATTTGTTATTTATTTGTTTATTTTATTGTACTAACATTAAAGTGAGTGTTATTTTAGTGTCATTGAGATACTATTATAGTTTGTACTTGATAGTTTAAATGGATTTTTCTATACACATACTATACAGTTGAAGTCAGAATTGAAAGCCCCCCTGAATTATTACACTGTTTATTTTTTCCCCAATTTCTGTTTAACGGAGAGAAGATTTCTTCATCATATTTCTAAACATAGTAGTTTTAATAACTCATTTATAATAACTGATTTACTTCGTCTTTGCCATGATGACAGTAAATAATATTTGACTAGATATTGTTCAAGACACTTCTATACACTTTAAAGTGCATTTAAAGGCTTAACTAGGGTAATTAGGTTAACTAGGCAGGTTAGGCTAATTAGGTTAGTTATTGTATAACAATGGTTTGTTCTGTAGACTATCAAAAAAGTATTGCTTAAAGGGGCTAATAATTTTTTCCTTAAAATGGTGTTTAAAAAATTCAAACCTGCTTTCAATCTAGCCGAAATAAAAACAAATAAGACTTTCTCCAGAAGAAAAAATATTATCAGACATACTGTGAAAATTTCCTTGCTCTGTTAAATATAACTAGGCAAATATTAAAAAAAGAACAAAAATCAAAGGGAGTCTAATAATTCTGACTTCAACTGTGTGTGTATGTGTATGTGTATATATATATATATATATATTTATATATATATATATGTATACATATATGTGTGTGTGTGTGTGTGTGTGTGTGTGTGTGTGTGTGTGTGTGTGTGTGTGTGTGTGTATATATAGAAAGCTGAAGTCAGTATATATAAAGTTGAAGTCTGTGGTTAGTGTAAAATATAATCAGATGATTCAATATAATGTTAACGTATACTTATTATATTGTAGTATTTATAGTATTTATTATTTATTTATTATAGTGCTGGCATCACAATTAATCGCATCCAGAATACCTTGTACATTTATCGGCATGCATACATTTGACAAAATGTTTATTCATATTTGGATTTTAAAAAACATCTCTATATGACACAAATTATATGTCGATTTAAATACGGCTTATCTTTGTAAGAAAATTGTTTTGCAAAGTTTTGCTTCTATGTATGTTTGTGTCACATATACATAATAAATACATACAAACACACAATAATAATAATAATAATAATAATATAACAAATACACACACATATATATTATCAAAACAAACTTTTATTCTGTATGCGATTAATCATGATTAATCTTTGCACAAATCCAGCACTAGTTTTAGTTATTTTAGTATATCAAGCTAAACAAATATATATATATAAATATATATAAATTGTGTGTATTTTATTTCAGATATTATACTTAAATTCAATACCAAATGTTTTAATGAGTATTTTTTTTCACTTCTAGTTTTAGTGAACTATTATAAAATGACATTGATATAATAACTTATTGACTAAATACACAAGATTTCTTACTATTACTACAGTATGAGTGCATCAGCAAATAGACTAAAACAAAAAAAATACTATAATAAATGATGATATAAAAATGGGACAAACCATAGTGCATAGTGCAGAGTTGTTGTTGTTTTTTTTTTTTGTTTAATGGAGAGAAGATTTTTTCAACACATTTTTTAAACATAATAGTTTTATTAACTCATTTCTAATAACTGATTTACTTCGTCTTTGCCATGATGACAGTAAATAATATTTTACTAGATATTTTTCAAGACACTTCTATACAGCTTAAAGTGACATTTAAAGGCTTAACTAGGTTAATTAGGTTAACTAGGGAGGTTAGGGTAATTAGGCAATTTATTGTATAATGACGGTTTGTTCTGTAGACTATCGAAAAAAAAATCTAGCTTAAAGGGGCTAATAAGTTTGACCTTAAAATATATTATGAAAATAAAAACTGCTTTTATTCTAGCCAAAATAAAACAAATAATAAATAGTAAATTTTCCTAGAAGAAAAAATATTATCAGACATACTGTGAAAGTTTCCTTGCTCTGTTAAACATCATTTGGGAAATATTTAAAAAAGAAAAACAAATTCAAAAGGGGGCTAAAAATTCTGGCTTCAATATAATCTATGCTTTGCATCTTACCTTCTTGAGAGCTGTATGTTCGGTTGTATGTAATCATAAAGTTTTTAAACATGGTCAGAAGCTCCACGCTTTCCTGAAAACAGAAATTGCATGTTATGCAATTTCATATAATGTTATGAAATTGCATATAATGAAAAGCAAACACATGTTATCTTTAGCAAATATTTCACACACGTATTCATACCTTCATTGGTTTGCTGTGGGTTAGAGGTACAGCCGCAACCTTTTTGAGCTCCTTCACAACTAAGGTATGAACAAAATCAATGATAAAATGTTAAAAGCACATGTGTTAGCAAAATCCTATAGTGTCCTAAAACACAATGATGATTAAGCATATCTGTGTTTTACGCCACATCAGTGGGACGAAATAAGGCTGGCAGAACTGCCATCTGTTCAAGGCTACTGACCCGCAGGCTGGCATTTCTGTTTAAGTAGCGTGGATTTATTTTCCCAGGGAATGTCCCAAACCTCGAACAAACAAACCTCAGTCTGTGGAGAGACAGAGAACGGGGTGATCAAAAGAGAGAACAAGCATTACAAATATGTATAATCAGCATGTTATTCAAGTTTAACTCAGGCCAAAATGTGTGCTGCTGTTTTAGTAATTGTTTTAGTATATAAATGAACAAAAAACATTAATAATAATAATAATAATAATAAAAATATCAATACATTTTGTTTATAATTAACTATTCTTAAACTTAAAGTACTACAGTGTATACAAACAAAATAAGAATACAACCCCAAAAAAATCTAAATAACAAACTTGCATAAAATCACAGTAATAATTTACAAAACAAATAGTGTATTTGTAGTTAATCGGCCAGTTTGACTTCTGCCAAAATGTCTGGTGCTGTTTTTGTAATTTTGTTATTATATACAGTTGAAGTCAGAATTATAAGCCCCCCTGAATTAATAGCCCCCCTGTTTATCAACAGAGTTTAAGTATCTCAGTTTAATGGAGAGAAGATTTTTTTCAACACATTTTTTAAACATAATAGTTTTAATGACTCATTTCTGATCACTGATTTATTTTATCTTTGCCATGATGACAATAATTAATATTTGACTAGAAATTTTTCAAGACACTTTTATACAGCTTAAAGTGACATTTAAAGGCTTAACTAGGTTAATTAGGTTAACTATGCAGGTTAGGGTAATTAGGCAAGTTATTGTATAACATTGGTTTATTCTGTAGACTATCGAGAAAAAAAAATAGCTTAAAGGGGCTAATAATTTTGACCTTAAAATGTTTTTAAAAAAAATTAAAAACTGCTTTTATTCTAGCCGAAATAAAACAAATAGGATTTTCTCCAGAAGAAAAAATATTATCAGACATGCTGTGAAAATATCCTTGCTCTGTTAAACATCATTTGGGAAATATTTAAAAAAGAAAATTCAAAGGAAGTGTAATACTTTTGATTTAAACTGTAAATGAACAAAAAACATTAATAATAAAAATATTATTAATAATAATAATAATTATTATTATTATTATTATTATTATTATTATTATTATCATTATACTTTCTATTTATGATGAACTTTTCCTAAACTCAAAGTGCTAAAGTCTATACAAACAAAATAAGAATACAAGCAAAAAAAACTAAATATCAAATTTGCATGAAATCACAGTAACAATTTACAAACAAAAACCCAAAAGATGCATAAACAACATGTATTTGTAGATATGGGCCCTATGACAACATTCTTAAAGAAGAGTGGGGGAGGGGGTGTCGCGGCTGAAAGGGGAGAAGACAGGGTTGGGTGGTTTGTGGTTTGGGGCTGTCGTGAAAAAGAGTACAGAGCAGGTGGGGTTAATGGTCGGTGGTTTTGATTAAGCCCCCTAATAGTAACCATAGGGGCCCCAAAACGACGTGGGCCCTTGGAATCATCCTAACTCGGTTGGTAAATCACAAATTAAACGCTTTACTAAAAAAAATGTAATTATCATATTGGATTTTGTGGCACTGTATGGAATTATTCTGAACAAGTCAAACCTGAATGCATGCTAATAATGTACACAATGCAATCTCAACCTAAACATGCTGTCAGTTCCATCTTGAGAGTTAAAGGGATAGTTCCTCGAAAAATGAACATTTACTCAGTATTTAATAGCTCTAAAATGGTTGCAAACCTGTTTGAGATTCTTTATTATTTTGAACACTGAAGAAGATATTTTGAAGAAAGCTGAAAACTTGTAACCATTGAAGGATTATACGTTTTCAGCTTCCTTCAAAACATTTTCTTCTGTGTTCAACAGATGAATGAAAGTCAAACTGGTTTTGGAACAAGTGAAGAGTGAGTAAATAATGCCAGACTTTTCAGTTTTGGGTGAACTATCCCTTTAAGGAACGAATGTTTTTTTTTTTTTTTTTTACTTAGTTTTTATTGATTTTTTTAGGAACATAACCAGTAGGAACAAAACAAATAAAAAAAATACATATATACATAAATACACATATGCATACAAACCCATATAGGCCAATACAACACACGTATATCTACATACATACACGTATAAAAATATTAATATTAAATTAACCTCATCAAAATAAATAGATAAATAAGTAAAAAAAAAATAGATAAATTAAAAAAAAAAAAAAAAAAACACCCAGAACAAAAGTGGTTGTTGGAAGAGTTACAAAATCAAGTCATGATACGTTTGACATACATTATCACAGATTATTTACAATGACATATTCAGACCATTTTTTCCAGTACTTGGTATACTTTTTTAAGTCAAATCTTAGATTTAAAGTGAGTCTCTCCATACAGTGTATTTCCTTTACAATTCCTATCCATTGAGCCCTTGTCGGGGGGTCAGCATGCAACCATTTTCAAGTTATGGCTTTTCTGCTACTTACCAAAAGGATTTGAATTAGGTACTTGTCAATAGTTGGAAAAACTTCTGGTATTTTCCCAAGGTATAATGTTATAAATGAGTAGTCCAATTCTTCTCCAATTATCTTTTTTATTTCAGTCGCTATTTCACTCAGGAACGAATGTTTTGATGGTTTTCCCAAAGGCAGTATTTGCTGTGATCTTTCTTATGGCTTAAGCTAGGGGTGTCCAAAATGGGTCCTGGAGGGCCGGTGTCCTGAAGAGTTTAGCTCCAACCTTAATCAAACACACCTGAAGCAGCTAATCAAGCTCTTACTAGATAAACTAGGAACTTCCTGGCAGGTGTGTCGAAGCAAGTTGGAGCTAAACTCTGCAGGATACCGGCCCTCCAGGATCGAGTTTGGACACCCCTGGCTTAAGGATTAGCGTTTGCTCACCTTCTGTTTGTGAGGCTCTGGGAAGAAGTCACAGGTGTCCGCAGTGCTCAGTTCTGCAGCTTTCTTACACTGAGTGCTCCCAATCTCCACCATAATGCTGTACCGGACACCTTTCACCAGCTAGAGACAAAAAAGTGTAAAAATTTAAGGCACTCTCTTATCAAACCTCTGAGTAGGATTCAACCCTTGTTATTTAACAACACTGGTAATTAGATTCAGTAACTAAATTTTAATTATAAAATATATGTGAGGTATTGAACTACACTCACCGGCCACTTTATTAGGTACACCTGTTCAAATGCTCGTTAGCGCGAATTTCTATTAACTCAATGCATTTAGGCATGTAGACATGGTCAAGACGATCTGCTGCAGTTCAAACTGAGCATCAGAATGAGGAAGAAAGGGGATTTAGGTGACTTTGAACATTGCATGCTTGTTGGTGCCACACGGGCTAGTCTGAGTATTTCAGAAACTGCTGATCTACTGGGATTTTCACCCACAACCATCTCTATGGTTTACAGAAATTGGTCCGAAAAAGAGAAAATATTCAGTGGGTGGTAGTTATGTGGGCAAAACTGCCTTGTTGATGCCAGAGGTCAGAGGAGAATGGCCAGACTGGTTGCAGCTGACAGAAAGGCAACAGTAACTCAAATGCACTCGTTACAACTGAGGTATGCAAAAGAGCATCTCTGACCGCATAACATGTCAAACCTTGAGGCAGATGGGTTCCAGCAACAGAAGACCACACTGGGTGCCACTCCTGACAGCTAAGAACAGGAAACTGAGGCTACAGTTCACACAGGCTCACCAACATTGGACAATAGAAGATTGGAAAAACGTTGCCTGGTCTGATGAGTCTCGATGTCTGCTGCAACATTTGGATGGTAGGGTCAGAATTTGGCGTCAATAACATGAAAGCATGGATCCATCCTGCCTGTTATCAACAGTTCAGGCTGCTGGTGGTGGTGTAATCGTTTAATTGGCACATTTTGGGCCCTTTTGTACCAACTGAGCATCATGTCAACACCACAGCTTACATGAGTATTGTTGCTGACCATGTCCATCCCTTTATGACCACAGTGTACTCATCTTCTGAAGGCTACCTCCAGCAGGAAAACACACCATGTCACAGCGAATCATCTCAGACTAGTTACTTGAACATGACAATGAGTTCACTGTAATAAAATGGCCTTCACTGTCACCAGATCTCCATCCAATAGAGCACCTTTGGGATGTGGTTGAACAGAATATTCACATCATGAATGTCCAGCCGACAAATCTGCTGCAACTGCGTGATGCTATCAAGTCAATATGGACCAAAATAAGGAATATTTCCAGCACCTTGTTGAATCTATGCCATGAAGGATTAAGGCAGTTCTGAAGGCAAAAAAGGGGTCCAACCCGGTACTAGTAAGGTGTACCTAATAAAGTGGCTGGTGAGTGTATATAGATCTTTAATTGACACACTGACATTATTGTACAGAATGGCTCTTTCGACATTATACTACATATTATTTATAATATAAACTTTGTGTTGAAAATAACCAACAACGTAACTTAACAAAAATGTAAATGATCTTAATATTTAAAGTTTTTCTTTTTTATTAAACCCTGAGGTTTCTTGGCAACAATATTAAAAATATATATTTCTTTAAATTCTGAACTTCACAGAAAGACTTGAACATAGCATTAGTCTATAGGGGGTTCGTAGACAACCTTGGAAATTTGGGAAGGTTTTGCATATTAAATTTAAATTTTAAAATTGTACTCTTGTTAATCATAAAAACGATTAAAGCATACAACTAATGTCATACTTAGAGATGTCCCGATACAACATTTTAACTTCCGATACGATACCGATATTGGAGCCATCAGTCCGATACCGATTCCGATATAAATCCGATATCAGCACAAATTATGAATACTTTATTTTTACCTATTTTGTTGAGTCGAATGTATGAAAGGCCAGATCAAACTGAGAACAAGTCAGCAAAAGTAAGTATGGGAAAAAAACAACCAGTTTATTAACTATTGGTTGCATAAATGTGAACCTTTTACATAAGAATATATAAAAAGAATTAAAGAATAAATATTAAAGCTCTATCCAGACAAATTAGATAATAAATGTAATAGGTGCTCACAGACCCCATGCAACCTCACTCATATGTTCTGGTCGTGCCCTAAATTGTCTGAATTCTGGCGGTTATTTTTCAAGGCAATCTCAGATATCTTGGACATTAATCTAAACCCAAACCCTCAAATCGCTATTTTTGGAAAACCCCCAGATGATTTTCATGTCACAAACATTCAACATAATGTCATCGCCTTTTCCTCTCTTGTTGCTCGCAAAAGAATTCTTTTAATGTGGAAATCGAAACAACCACCCTCAATCAAAGTTTGGTTACACGACATCTTAAGTCTTTTGAAATTGGAGAAGATTAAGTTCTCTCCCAGAGGCTCGCCTCACAAGTTTTATATTCATTATATTTATAATTTTTAATTATTTTGATGATTTAACACCTCTGGAGTTGATTATTTAAGAAATCATTTTATGGTCGGAATTACTATTATTATTTTTTTTTTAGTCTAGCATTTTTTCTCCGGAACAGTCATGCCCTAAACTAGACGCATTGGTTTAACCTCATCACAACTAAAACCATAATAACCAAGAAGTAGGTAGCACATCATTATTGTTGATGTAACTAGCTAATGTATTTATTTTGTTTTATTTATTTATTTATTTATTTGAAAGCATTTATGTATGTATCTCAAATTGTACTATTATCAGTATTTTTGTTTTATTGTTAATATTTTATTTTTATTTTATTTATTTATTTATTTATTTTTTTTTATTGCTCTGTCTTCTGTTATATGTTTTACAAGAAACGTGGCTATGTGTTTGTATGGGTGGAATGGGTGGGGGGTTTTGGGGTTGAATGTTTACAAAAGTGTTCAAAAAAGAAAAGCAGAAATTGGACATTTGTATACAACAAATGCTTTCCACTTGTGTTCAATAAATAAAGTTTATTTTAAAAAAAAGAATAAATATTAAGACCCTGAAAAATATCTTAATTGAATAAACAAAAATACATTTTTAAAGTGCAAAATACTAATTGAAGGTCACTTTAGTTGTTCATTTTTTACCATCAGCAAAGAGTAGAAAATGCTGAGAGCAGGAACATATGAAAAAATATTGTTAATTGATCAACCGCTAAAGGTTCAGTGTCCAAAATTTCAATTTCACACACAGCTTTTTGATGAATTTTTCATCCAGTTGAGCTGAAAAATATCTTTCACACTGGGCAGCAGAAAAAAGTTATTGTTAAGTTATTAAAAATGAGCAGTATGGTTATGGATCAGAGCTATTTCATCTGTGTTTGTATCATAAAAAGATTATGGCTGTATCAATGTTTCCAAACATTATTAATTTTACAATAATATATATTGCACATATTATGTTTAACATAAAAATACTTGCAGAGGCTGGATTGAAACACACCTTTTCTCCACAGCACTTGAAATAATGTGAATTTTAAGAATAATTTTATTTATCAAAATTCATTATATTTGCATATTTGCACAGATTCCACCCTACTGCCCACATGGGAAAATTAGACAATGTAAATAAAGAGAACTGCAAACTGATGTGCAAAGCTGATACTGTTTATCAGAGCACTTTATCTTTCTGGGCTTTTTAAAGAAGAGTTAAACGTCATACTTTAAGACTCTTAATACATTAGATCACTTTCTAATAATTCATATAACTAAAAACATTTGTAACAGATTAAATCACACAAGCTGCAAAAATAACAGTAGGCTATTATATAAATAGATGTACTCCGCGTCTGCGCAAAAGGCACGCAGTGTTGTGCTGCTTAAATCCGCTCAGCAGTTACGTATGTGAGGCCTCTGCGGTTGTTTACGTCTGGTTTAATCACGTGAAAGCGGTTAAAATAACTCCTTATAATAAACTTAATGTCCAATATTATGCAAATCGTTGTTGTGTATAATGAATAATTAGATTAAATACAAATTAAACGTATCGACAAAATACTAAATGTGGTTATATATCAATTAAACTAACGTTAATCGGAAATTCTAAGGGATTATTTTTTATTTAACGTTACCTGTTTGCTGGCCGAAAGGATTTTGCTGACACGACGTATATGCATCGCGTTGGAGCCCATATTATATCGTTCCTCGGCGAACTTTACTGCTTTCATAACCCCCGGGTCAGAATCCGACAGACGGACCGGCGATCCTGGAGCTCCGATAACCGGGCGGTCCGGGCCATCTTCTAAACCCAGAACCAACCCGACCAACACCCAGCAGGCGATGACGGTGTAACCGCGGTTGAAGTACATGTTGTCGAGCTTTCAGGACAAAAAGCAGCGACGTCAGATCAGCAGAGGTTTGTGTTCAGATTATAAACTCGCAGTGTTTTGATGCTCCACACGGCACAGTGTCAGTCGGTGTGAGGCGCCCCGCATAAAGATGGACGCCCTGAAAGACGCAGTTATGATGATGGTGCCCCGCATAAAGATGGAGGACTGATGCACCTCAGGCTGTGTGTTGATATTTAACGACTAGCAGCTTTAACATTCATTTATTGAAACGTACTTCATCTTATTACATTATTCGTGTCACTATGCATTAATTGTGCTTATTATTAGTTTGGTACTAGTGACGTTATATATTTATCTCTATTACAATAATATTTTACTATTGACACAGTACAGTTCAATACAAAAAAAATATTAGTAAAAAATATTTATGTAGCTACTATGTAATAAATGTGTAATAGCAGGCTATATTTTTAATAAGCTACAATGTTTAGGATGGATGGATAGATGGATGGATGGATGGATGGATGGATAGATAGATAGATAGATAGATAGATAGATAGATAGATAGATAGATAGATAGATAGATAGATAGATAGATAGATAGATAGATAGATAGATAGATAGAAACAGCTATTTTATTCAATTTAAGCTATCTCTACTAGTGTGTATTAATTAAGCACTGTTGTAGGGCCTGCAAATATCTAAAAAAAAAGAGAGAGAGAGAGAGTAAATAATGAGTCTAATGAGTACTAGAATATTTAAAATATGTAACAACTGGAAAACCCTATGTTGATATCTCAGTGACAGATGTGCATAAAAGTTAATGGCAAAATTTTGAACTTAGTCTTTTTTAATAACAGAATAGTAACCGCTGTAAAAACATACAGTTAAATTTACCAGATGCAATTAACAAATTAATTAAAGTGATTAGTCATACGTGCCATTTCTTCTATGTTGAGATTTTACATAACACGAAAGCCGAATAGTGTTTTGTCTATTTATGGATTATTAAAATACGACAATATTCTTATCTCAGTTGTAAGAGCAACAAACAATAACTTGACTTATAGTTGAATATTTGGAAAAGTGGCAGAAGGTAGATAAATAATCTGTTGAACGGCATCCCAATCATCACAAATACTGCAGAAGACCTATTGGAACCCGCATGGACCCAAGATTCTCACAGAAATCAGTCAAGTGCTGCAGGATTGGCCAGTCCAGCCAACAGATATGAACATTATTGAGCATGTCTGGGGTAAGATGAAGGAGGCATTAAAAATGAATCCAAAGAATCTTGATGAACTCTGGGAGTCCTGCAAGAATGCTTTCTTTGCCATTCCAGATGGTCATTGCAGAGATGTATGGATGCAGTCCTCCAAGCTCATGGAGTCATACACAATATTCTTTTTCCACTGCACCATGACTTTATATTCTGTACTGTACATTATTTCTGTGACAAGACTTTTGTCTAAGCAAAGTCAGACCTTACTGTCCTAATTAAATAGTTTAAAATCAAGGCATGATCATATTTTATTTTAGTAAAATAAGCATAATCCAGAGGCCTTTGCCTTTCATATAAGCCACTTCTGATGACAAATGATAAACTAAAAGTCAAGGTATTAATTGTTATTCCTAAAACTTAGATAGGCGACAAGACTTTTCTCCATGCAACATAAGACCAGGGTCACAAATAAATGCATATATATATATATATATATATATATATATATATATATATATATATATATATATATATATATATATATATATATATATATATATAATAAGTCATTAATATGTAGTTAACAGAAAAAAAGTTGTTACTTTATTATCTAAAATGAAATGAGCAAATTTCCAGCTCCCATCACTCTGCCTCTCTTAAAGTTGAATAGTTAAAATGTAGTGTTATTTTAATGTGGTTTTTCTCGAGACTTATATAAAGAGAGGTTTGTTTGGTGTCTAGAGTTCTGTTATGCTAGAATTTAAAAGGGTTTCTGGTATGTCTGCATTTTTGGAGGTTTCAATTCATTGTGCTATAGAGTAGAGCTTGTGGTTGGGCTGACCGACTCTTGACCCAAACCCATTAGGACTGTGCGTTTCTTTATTGGCTTGAGTTCCTTTAAGTTGTTGTCTTTTATTAGTACCCACTACTGAAGTAAGTGCCACTGTCTAGTAGTAGCCTATGTAATGCAGGGAATCGATTAAAAGTCTAATAGTACTTACTGTGAAAGAGAGAGTCTCTAAAAATAAGCACGGAAATAGAAACTAGTACATTAAGTTGAAGCTTATACCCAACGCACGATGTCTGCGATGTCTGTATAACGTTGCATTTTTTCAAAGGTAGAACAAAGTAGAAATGTAAGACGTGAGAGGGCTGTAGCAATGTTGTCGTGTGACATTCAGCAACCATGAAACAATGTTCTTATTAGATGTAATAATGCTTTTTTTCTGGCAGTTTATTAACACTGAAAAAATTAAATTCTATTACTGAAGTATGTATTGGTGTAGAATTGTTTTTATTTTAGTAATTTTAATCACCAAAGTTTTTAGATAAAATTTCTTACCCATTTTGGGTTACTTTCAACCCAGCAGTGTAGTTATTTTTTACCAATAGTTGGGTTAAAATCACAACCCAGCATGCTGGGTTAGACGTGGAACCCAACTTGTTGGGTCAAATTAACCCAGTGTGGTGTTTGTCCCTATTTTACCCAGCGCTGGGTTACCAAAATAAAGCAAATTGGGTTGTTTTCAACTTAGCATTTTTTAGAGTGTACAATACATGACAAGCAGTAATAATTTTCCAGTATTGCTTAACATTAAATATTGTTCATATTGTTCAATATTGTTGTATTTTTAATTTTTAATTTAACAACTGCATGTGTAAGCTTTAAAACCTAAAAATGCCACACAAATGAATACAATCAAACTTTTTAATTAAATATTTCACAACATTTAATACATACAGGTCAGATCTATGTATATGCAAACAGTATAAAATAAAGTTTAGATCATATTAAATAATTAACTATATATAATTAAACTCAAAGGGTAGGCTAAATTAAAATGTAAATTGAGAAGGTAAACAAACAAGAGAAGTAAACAAGAAAGCATTAAAATATAAATTAATTAATTAATGAATTAAAATGAAGACACTGCATTGTCTATACAACAAGTATACTATACTAATACTACAAGTATACTATAATAATATATGGTATTCTAATAGTCATCATCCAAACATAATAAACCAGTGCCTTTATCACCACTAGATGGTGTAAAATCTCACAAAAAAATGTAAAAGATGTTTATATTAGATCTTTACTGTCATCTGCTGGCCGTTGAGTAAATGCTCGCTTTAATGGCTGTTTCCGGTGTTCCGGTAGAGACGTGTAATTTCAGCGACAACATTTGGAAATGAATATAAATATAGTTTCCGTACTTGTAACTAACTCAAGTTAAACGGTTGTTAGTTGTTTATAGGTTTAAAAATTATATCAAGCAACAGCAGTTGATGGTTGTTTTGGTGAATTATTCATAGGCTACAATCACGACTAGTGTGTAAAAATGGATTGTGAAACTCGAGGAAGAGGAAGAAGAGGACGCGGAAACCGAAATGAAGAGGTGGGAGAAACTTTCGCTTCACTTGTTATGGATACTCCTTTTAATTTACTGTATTAAACATGGTAATTATCAGTGTTTGCCAAAATTAATTGACATGGATTTTTTTTAAACAATTTTGGAAATTTTGTAGAATGTTAGACATTTTTTATTTTATCCCTTGCGAAAAATAACAATTAAACTCACATTAAAAATAATATAATACATTAAATAAATTACTATGGTGTTTCTGAACCAAACTATAGTAATGTGATTCAGATATAGTATTTACAGCATACTACAACATACTAATACCAAAGTGTAATAAATGCTATGTAAAAAGTGTATAAACTGTAATAAATACTGTAGTATACTTCAGTTTTTACTTTAGTAAACTGGTGTATTGTGGTATATACTATGCAATACTATATAATTTAGTTGCTGAAAACAACAGTATTTGTTTATATTACTATAGTTATAGAATTACCACAACAGATTATTTACTTAGTGTGTCATTGGCCCATGAATATCCCCTGCTTGTTTTCAAACTATTTCATAACTATAACAAAAGGCATTTCAGTCATATATTAATGTTAAAACTGCTGTCATTACATTATTTATCAATATGTGGACCTTTTTGGATTCTCGAAGGTTATGGAAATTAAAGAGATAAAACTGGAAATACGTTAGGCCCATTGTTATTGGTTACATCTCTCAAAATGGTCTGTGCTAGTACAAAAAAAATCCTTCAACATGTTCTTTATGTCAGAACCTTTTGTCTGTGAAGCATGTTTTGTTATACTGTGTCATTTTAGCTTTTTATTCAGTTAATTCCTTTGAAGACATTTTAAACAGATTTAAAGATAGTTCACCAAAAAAAAAAATTTCCTCACTGTTTACTCGCACTTAAGTGGTTTTAAATTTCTTCACCCAAAAATGCAGATTCTGTCAACATTTACTCATCTTCCACCTGTTTAATTTTAGATATACACTCACCGGCCACTTATTAGGTACACCTTACCAGTACCGGGTTGGACCCCCTTTTGCCTTCAAAACTGCCTTAATCCTTCGAGGCATAGATTCAACAAGGTATTGGAAATATTCCTCAGAGATTTTCTGATCCATATTGACATGATAGCATCACGCAGTTGCTGCAAATTTGTCGGCTGCACATCCATGATGTGAATCTTTCATTCCACCACATTCCAAAGGTGCTCTGTTGGTATGAGATCTGGTGACTGTGGAGGCCATTTCAGTACAGTGAACTCATTGTCATTTTCAAGAAACCAGTGTGAGATGATTCATGCTTTATGACATGGCATGTTATCCTGCTGAAAGTAGCCACCAGAAGTTGGGTACACTGTGGTCATAAATGGATGGACATGGTCAGCAACAATACTCGGGTAGGCTGTAGCGTTGACAGGATTCTCAGTTTGTAATAATGTGCCCAAAGTGTGCCAAGAAAATATCCCCCACCTCATTACACTACCACCACCGTTGTTAGGCAGGTTGGATCCATGCTTTTATGTTGTTAGTACCGAATTCTGACCCTAACATCCGAATGTCACATCAGAAATCGTCAGACCGGGCAATTCTGTGCAATTTTTGTGAGCCTGTGTGAACTGTAGTCTGGCCATTCTCCTCTTACCTCAGGCATCAACAAGGCATTTGCACCCACAGATCTCCCACTCAACTAGATATTTTCTCTTTTTCAGACTATTCTCTGTAAACTCTAGAGATGGTTGTGCGTGAAAATCCCAATAGATCAGCACTTTCTGAAATACTGCCCGTCTGGCACCAACAACCATGCCACATTCAAAGTCACTTAAATCACCTTTCTTCCCCATTCTGATGCTGGGTTTGAACTGCAGCAGATCATCTTGACCAGGTCTACAAGCCTAAATGCATTGAGTTGCTGCTATGTGATTGGCTGATTAGAAATTTGCGTTAACGAGCAGTTGGACTGGTGTACCTAATAAAGTGGCAGCTGAGTGTATACAAGATATACATTTGTATTCTCACAATAAAAGTCAATGGCTATATTATTTCAACATTCGTCAGAATATTTCGTTTAGTATTTAACAGGAGAAAGAATTTCACAAACGTTTAGAACCACGGCTTAATGAGTAAATGTTCAAACATTTTCATTTTTGCCTGAACTATCCCTTTAAGTTTCTGATTTGTTGGTCTTTCAGAGCAGAGATGTCCGTCTGTCTAAATCTCTGTCTTATGTGTTACGCCACGGTGCCAGTAAGATGGGTCTTCAGATGAACTCGGGTAGGAGATGAAATCCACAAACCATATGATTCAAAACACCCTGTCTGCCTAAAGTAATGTTGATTAGATCTTCTACGATGAGAACACAAAAGATAACAATTCATTCATAAGGTTTCATTTCTCCTGGCGCATGTTTTGATCTAGTGTTTAATCATCTCTGTTGTCTGCAATTCTTGTCTGCAGATGGCTTTGTATTTGTGGAGGAACTACTCGCTCATCAGCAGTTTCGCTCATTTTCAGTGGATGATGTGGAGCGAGTCGTAGCCTCCAATGACAAACAGCGATTCAAGCTGTGCAAACACCCTGAGGATGATCGTCTGCAGATACGAGCCAATCAGGGTCACTCAGTACAGGTCAGCGTGGTTCAAAGCTCATGCAAACTCTGCAGGGTTTCGTTTAATAAGCTTCATTCACTGTTCTGCACAACTGTGCAAATGCAGTTATTATTTTGTTGTCGAACATCAAATACTTCAGCTGTAAAAAATACTTTCAAAAAGACTTCAACTGTATATTAGAATTAAAAAAGAAAACATACACGGTTGTTTAATTACCTTATCCATGAGTATGACTCTTCTAGGTTACAGATCTAGAATTGCGAGAGATATCCCAAGATGATCAGGATTATCCGAGAGAAGCTGTTCACGGCTCATACATGAAGCACTGGCCCTCCATCCGCAGTCAGGGCCTCAGCAGAATGAACAGAACTCACATACACCTGGCTCCTGGACTGCCTGGAGAGGGCAGAGTCATCAGCGGTGAGAGACGTTATCACCTTTACCTTTATTCCATTTGATTTAACTTGATCTTATTCTATAACTATGCAGAGGATCTATATACAGCACTCAGTTTTTCTACATAAACGGTAATAATTAATATATATGTATACATTAAAGGGCACATAGTTTACCCCTTTTTATGATTAAATAATAATATTATGTTTTTTCTGAGTGTGCCAGTTTAGGCTCAGTTCAACACACAGTTCAGATGATTTTATTATAGTGTGTTCAAAAGTGTCATGTTGGGGGCGTTTACAAAGTTTGCTGTTTTAGGGGCGTGTTGCTTCATAGTTTCGGCTTCCCGCCCAATGTAACAAGGGGGCGGAGCCAAGAGCTCCCACGCTCTGTGTTTGCAACAGACAGGCTGACAGACAGAGAGCTTTATTTTGACTGTCCATGCGCAGAGCGCAAAACGCAGGGCGCAAACGCTTTCAGGGCGTGTCAGGACGCCTTTTTGCTAATTTAAGGACGGGAAATCTGCCTTGCGCCAAGGCGCATGGTCTAAAAGGGTTGAGTTTATTTTCTCAATGAGTTATAGGTGTGTTTTGAGAATAAACCAATTAGAGTCTCATCTCCCATTCCCTTTAAGAGCCAGCTGCGTCGCGCCAAGAGCGCATTCACTATTTACAGGACACAAAGTAAGTCTAAGTGGAAAAAATGAGCATTTCACAAGCAAACAGTTGACAGTTTATTAACAGAAAACTGTTAAACAGAGCATCTACTGCGTGAGAATGAGAGATAAATGATCTACTTTCACATTCGCTCTTGGATAGGGAAACCTTTACGCACAGACATCAATTAGCCTATAAATAATTAATTTAGTTTGTTAAGCGCAAAGATTTGTTTCAAAACTATTTCTAAATTCAGTTCTAATTTCTAGCAAACGAATAAATGAACAATAATAACCAAGAGTGGTCAAAATACTGAGTTATTTCCAAATACACCTGCCAAGCCCCATATGGTCTTAAACCTGACAGGTGGGCTAATCTAAGCTTGTTTTTAATAAAACAAATATAAATATGGATATAATAAATAATACTGCTAATAATAATAACATTATACAAAAGCAAATTGTTATGAATGAACTGAAAAAGCCTCCTGAGATGAAGAAGACATAAAAGCAGTGATTTTTCATATTTATGTAGGCTAGAAAATAATATGTTTTGTAATATTTTAATCCTTTATATTTATATTCTATATCTATTCTTATTATATCCTATATACATCCTTAATATTTACATTTTTTCATATGTAAAGATATTTGCCTATTGTTCTCTTGTGTGTATTAAGCAGTGCGTAAGCGAAGCGTAACTCTGCGCTGGAGTTTAGACCGGGTTAGTTTTGGTGTAATGAAAAATCTATTATAGTTTCTCAAAATAGCGACGCGCCAGCGGTCCACCTCAGAACGGCTCCCTTTTTAGACCAGAACGCCTATGGGCGCACAAATGAGCGCTAATGCATTTGCTTTTTAAACAGCGCAGCGCAACGACTCAAAACCACTCTTGCGCCAAGCTGAAACTACCAAAAGACTATTGCGCTGCGTCTTGCGCCACACTGCGCCGGGTGTATGATAGGGCCCAGAGAGAGAGAGCTAAGCTAAGCTGAGCTAGGATGAGCATTCAGCCGTACATGTACGAGTCGGACACAGACCAAGCAGAGTACAAAATCATTTGTGTCTTTGTATAGTCTTGGTGTTCAAGTGCCGAGCTTGTACACTGAGACTAATAACCACACACACTGAATTAACTTTGACTGAGGCACCGAATGCGCCGCGACATGGCACACTTGACACTCAGTGACACTGCAGAAACATGAAGTGCCCTGAATCGTCGCGCCACGTATTCCAGAACTCCAAACAAAAGCCTCCACCAGGGCAAAGACAACGGCGCAGAGCCGCTGACCCGAAGCGAACTCACGCCCAGAACTCCTAAATGCACGGCGCCGCACCAGACAAAAGGTACAAGCAATAATTCCGATTACAGCGATAATGTGGAGAATATTGATCTTGTGTTGAGCCCACACGCTGAAAATGGCGGACGTGCAACAAGAAACTGAGGATATGATCCTGACACAAGGCTGTCAATCAATATTGGTGGGCGGGGGGACCGCTCTCCTACGTTAAGTTGTGGTCAGTCTGAAAACCGCTCCTATTGGTCCACCGTTTTTTTGTTGTTAAATTGAAAAAAAGGACTGTGTGTGTTTATATCATGCCAATATGACGGTCTATACACTATACTTGCACACATGTCTGTCCAAACAGCTTGAAAAGTAGATTTTTCACCATATGTGCCCTTTAAGGTAACTACAAATAAGTAGGTAAAGCAAATATCTGTTTTATTATTACTATTCTGTTAGGAGTATTCCCCAATACGTGCAATGTTTTCCCCCCCTTACTCATTTGCATCCCTGGAATATTTTAGAAAATCTAATTCTTCTCATGTTATTTATTATTGAAAATTGCCTCTATTCTGTTTCTAGGTATGCGACAGAGTTGTGATCTAGCTGTGTATATTGATGTCACGAAAGCAATGTCAGGTATTAATCATATTAAAACCAGTGAAGAGTTTAATATTATAGCGCAGAAGGCATAATAATCATTCTTCTCTCTGGTTGGTGTTCAGATGGGATTAAGTTCTTCTGGTCAGAGAACGGTGTGCTGTTGACTCCTGGAGATGCAGCTGGGATTTTAGCACCGTGCTATTTTTCACGAGCACAGAGACTAAAACCGTTACGTAAGTCACTTAAAATTGTGCTACAAACTTAAGACAGTTCCTATTGATTCAACTTATTTCCTGTTAAGTTCAATTCTATATTAGTTTTTTCCACTTATAATACATTTATTTGGTATTTTATAGAACAGATCATTCGATTTGAAGAGATTAAGGAACTTCTTTAAGGAATAATGCTTTTGTTTTGTTTTTTCAGCTTGTGACATTGAACTGCATTAGCTGTTGGAGAGGATCTCCTTCTGACTGGACGTTTTTCTGACCATGAACTATAAAAAAAGCTTTCAAAAGAGGAAGATTTGTTTCTTAAAGATATATCTTTTAAATGAATGCAATGACCCTGTTTATTATACTCCAATGTTAATAGATAGAAATAATACTGTCCTCCACAAATCCCTTAACAAGCACAGAATTGTTCAGAATTACCTTTAAAGAGATGCACTCAAAAATGATTGTTGCTGCTTGTTCAAACTACTTTTTTAAAATAAGCCAAATATCAACATAATTCTTGAGTTGTGTTTTTTTTTTTTTTGGGGGGGGAGAACTTAAAAGTTTTATGTTCAATCCACTTAAATTTATAAGAACCATTAAGTTAACTTAATCATTTTGTTTTGTACAACATGAAGGATGTTTTTTTTTGTCTTTAATCACAAAAATGAAAATTTACTCACTATTTACTAACACTCAAGTGGTTTCAAACCTTCATCAAGTTTTTTTTTGTAATCTGAACAAGACAATAATATATTGAAGGTGTTTACATGAGTTGTTTTGTGAATGTTCCTTTCATATGTTTTACATGTTATAGCACTTAATTCGATTAATGTCATAGTGTTACCACGCTATCCACGTTTCCTCTGGAGTTTCATGCAATTTCAGCTGTTTCATTTTTAATTTGTCGACTTTAACTGTGGTTTGGCACTTTCACTTTCATTCAGGAGAATTTCATGCATGCCCCCGTGAAAAAAACAAGATATTGGATGCGAGTATGAACTGCTGGAAGAGTGTTGTTTTAATGAAATTTGATACCGCATGCCCCCCTTTGAATTTTTTTTATTTTTTAAATATTTCCCAAATTATGTTTAACAGAGCAAGGACATTTTTACAGCATGTCTGATAATATTTTTTCTTCTGGATAAAGTCTTATTTGTTTTATTTCGGCTAGAATAAAAGCAGTTTTTAATTTTTTTTTAAACATTTTAAGGACAAAATTATTAGCCCCTTTAAGCTATATATTTTTTCAATAGTCTACAGTACAAATCATCATTATACAATAACTTGCCTAATTACCCTAACCTGCCTAGTTAACCTAATTAACCTAGTTAAGCCTTTAAATGTCACTTTAAGCTGTATAGAAGTGTCTTGAAAAATATCTAGTAAAATATTATGTACTGTCATCATGGCAAAGACAAAATAAATCACTTATTAGAAATAAGTTATTAAAACTATTATGATAAAAAATGTGCTGAAAAAAATCTCTTTGTTAAACAGAAATTGAGGGAAAAAATAAACAGGGGGCTAATAATTCAGGGGGGCTAATAATTCTGACTTCAACTGTACATACTGTATAATGGATGGCTGCATATCTGAAAGATTGCTTGGCATTTTGTATACAAATTGTCGAGTGACCTTCTTTTATTTCTGAGCCACGGCATATTTGTCAAAAAATAGAATATCTAAATACACACACCCAAAGATAGCTATGTGTCATGTTTCTGCGGGGGGATTTCTGCAACCAAGTTTATGTACAGTGCACTAGATAAAGACAAAAAACAGACCTTGTATTTTCATGTCTCATTATATGTACTACACTTGTTTGAACTGCAGAAATTCTTTGTCTTTTCTGATACAACTACTATAAACAGCTGCTAAAGGTTTCCTCTTACTAATTTAATAAAGCTGTGCAAAATCACGCAGTTTTTCAGTTAACACTATTAAATGGTCTGCAGCTTGAATTCATGGTCATTCACAGTTTTGTTTTGACTGTCCGTCAGCTGATCAAAGACCTATTCTTGGTATTGTCAAGCTGCTTGTGCTTTTGGATTTCAGTCAGTGGTGTTGTGTGAACACTAAATCCCAGCACTGCAGAAGCGCTCAGCATTCTTTCCCAGTAAGATGATGGACTATTTTGTAACCACGTGGAACTAATATACTTTGACATTCTGAACAAAGAGCAAGACAGTATGGAAAGAAGGCAGTTTACTGCATGTTGTGCGTTCAAGTGGTTACCAGCAGCATTTTCAAGCTCAAACCATTCATTAATTAGTTTTCCTTTGACTTAGTCCCTTATTTATCATGGGTTGCCACAGCGGAATGAACCGCCAACTATTCCAGCATATGTTTTACGCAGCGGATGCCCTTCCAGCCACAAACTATTACTGGGAAAACACTTATACACTCTTTCACACACACATACTCATGCACTACGGCCAATGTAGTTAATCCTATTCACCTATAGCGCATGTCTTTGGACTGTGGGGGAACCCACACCAACACGGGTAGAACATGCAAACTCCACACAGAAATGCCAACTGGTCCAGCCTGGACTCAAACCAGCGACCTTCTTGCAGTGCGGTGAGAGTGCTAACCACAAAGCCACACAAGCTCAGAATCACGATTTTTTAAATAATCTTTACAAGTAAAAAGAAACATCAAAAGTAGTGTGAGGAGTTTTCTAGAACAAGATGTCGCAATCTAATACTAGAGAAAGTTCAGTGTATACTTTGTAAAGCTGGCGTTCGTGTCCTCTATGTGTCTCTAGGCAGCCTCTCAAAGCAGAGTTTCCCCTGATAGAAGAGGTCTAAAATTAGGAAGCCCCTATGACTGTTTTGGCCTAGTGTGTCAAATTCCATTCGCAGGCTCCGTCTATGCTATCGCAGCACCTGCTCTTAGCTGTAACCCCCTATTAAGCTTGGCAGAGGCATGCACCTATGTTAAAGCATGATTAAAAAAGCCGCAGGTCAGTTTCATCATGTCCTTTTTTCTGTGCATGCTTTTTAAAAAGTGGTATCAATCGATGATTGAAATAGCCAGGCTCTGCTAGCTCAGACGTGGCTAATGGCACAGCATTTTTTGGGGCTTAGCTTAAGGGGCTGGACATTTCTGTGCACCGAGTGGCCTGTTTCGATGAAGGGTCAGTTTGGCACTTGGAAACCTGGACCCCCCAGCAGGAGCCTCATTCACAGCTCATGGTTCAGTGCGTAACTGTCCCCTGTGAATGTTCTCTGGAGAGGCTGCTCCATTGAAATGACCACATGGGAAAACAGCGGAAAAAGGCAAGTATTCAATTTGATGGCTTTTATGTGAACTTTTGTGCATGTATGTTGTTACACTGATTGGTACTGTACATATTTTTGCATCAGTAAGTCTCCAAGCCGTTCAGCTACCTTAATAGTGACCTTTTAGTCAAGCACAGTTTTGTAAAGGTAAAAAGACAATCATTTTAGTAACTAGAATTTAGGACTGTAGCTCACAAAAAGAAATGATTTACAGTTAACAAGATTGTACGATTTTCCTTTCATGTTTCAGATGTGAACAGATTCAAAAACTGCTGAATGGCAAGCTCAGACATTTATAAACTGCTCAAGAGACCACCCAATGTCTGGGATATCTGAAGTGAAGAAATGGAACGCTGGGTTTTAGAAGGAGACAGCTACTCTTTCCTTCGCAGTGCTCCACACACATTTAACCTGCAGAATCGCGAAGGGCCGAATCGCGTTGAGATATTTGACATCACTTCAATCCCCAGCCATCGCAATGCCATATCCGAAACAACCTGTCTGTGTGACATTTTTGGAGATGACGGCGAGTCCCAGTCACTTTCCAGTAGCCCAGCCTCTGCTACATATGCCAGGAAGGAAATTGAACAGCCTTTCCCAGCAGATGATGCCAATGACTCCTCAGGATCTTATCACACTGCCAATGGATCTGACTTAAGTGACAACGCTGAAGTCACCTACAGCACACCCTCTCCAAAGAATACACAAGATTTTTGTACATCAGAGAACAGTATAACTGATTCACCGCCACCTGAATCAACCGTCTTGTCTGATTTCCAAAATGGAATTAATGCATTTGACTGCACACCACCTGCACCCGAAGTGAATGGTAATGACCTTTCACATAAAGATTACTGGGAAGAACCCCAAGTGTCAGTGAACGCTGCCCCGGTGATTGAAACAGATGAACCTGTACCACAGGATATTAATTCAACACCAGATACTTGTCTTATTAATTCATCAAAGGAAACTACTAATCCTACATCTTGCTCTTCAGAGCAGAACGAAGCCATTGTTATGGAGCAAGAAGTGAACATAACAACACCTCAACATACAAGTGCAAGCCCATTTGAAGACGAGCAAGGTTGCATAAGTATATCTAAGTGTACAAGCTGTGAAGACTTGGCAGAATCTAAAATTGAACAAGATATTGAGATGTCTTCTGTGAGCAAAGAAGGTATAGCCTCCAGTAATCCGCAAGAAGAAAGAGTTCTTCTTCCACAAAAGATTGTAAACAGTGGCTCTGCATCAGACCTGTCAAACGCTTCTCCAACAGACTCCATGTCTATTCAGGAAATATCTATTTCACCTGCAGACCAAGATATTTGCTACACACCAGAGCACAGATTAAGCTCTGTCTCCCCTGACAGCAGAACAATTTTCTCCACACCTGCATCCATAGGTAGATCTTCACCTGAGCTGTTCGATTTGTGCTCAACACAATCAGAGTCTCCACTTCTGGAGAACTCTCATGGTGCGTCTTCTACTTTATCTAAAATTCCTACCAATGATAAAGTAGAAATAGATTCCACGACTGAATCTGACATTTCCACTGAAAGAAGAGGACTTGTGTGTTCATCCATGGATGGTAAAGAAAAACTGGAGTCCCCTGGGATCAATGAAACCTGCTCTTCACCTGAACAATCAGCACATGCTCACTCACCAGAACCAGTTGTAATTCACTCACCTATTGGTTACAGCATCAGCGCATCACCTACTAATGAAACAACAGTTTCTTCAAGTGACCGTGAAGCCTCATTGTCCCCCTCGGTAGTCACTAGAACTGAATACAGTGATATCTGCTCTTCTCCTGATCATTCAGAACCCATCATTGACTCACCTCTGGGTTACACCATCAGCCCGTCACCTACAAATGAGAGAGAGGTTTATTCAACCGAACCTGAAGCCTCAATATCTCCTTGCTGTCACAGTGATATCTACTCTACCTCTGATAACTCTGTTTCAGCTCACTCACCAGAACCTACAGCAATTCATTCACCTATGAGTTTTACCATCAGCCCATCTCCCACAAACCTGAGAATGGTTTATTTTATGGAACCTGATGACCAACCGTCCTCTCCTGCCTTCACAGGTACTGATTACATTGCAACACCAACATGCAGTAGAGATTCTACACCTGCATTAAGGAGCATGACATCCACTCCAAACAGCAGAGAAAACTATCTTACACCCGAGCCCACTTCTCCAGCCCCGTCTCCAGAATTGAGCTCAGTCACCTGCTTACCTGAAATCAAAACAATATCATATAATATTCTGCCACAAAATACAAAATCCCCTACAATTGAAGGCATCGATTATAACATTTCGCCTAGCAAAGATTTAGCACAATCATCTGGAGTAGATGCAACTCTTTGCAGAAACTCTTCTGTAGCTTCAAATTCCCCCTTTGAAAATCATACCTCAGTTTCACCTAGTTCAAGAAACTTTTTGTCAACACCAGAGAGTAGATCTAGGCCCTCATCAAAGGCATCGGAACATTCTAGAGACACAGGATTATCACCTGCGCCCTCCATGCCAATTGTGAAGATAGAAAATCAGCATTCACCTATAATCATTGAGGGAATCAAGCCACCTTCTCATAGCCCAATAGATAGTCATTATTTAAATGACCATGTTGAAGCAGACACCTTGAAAAGCAGCACATCTGTCCAGGATGAATATACAGGAGGTGCACCAGAAGTTCTTAGCCAACTGAAGAACTTGAAAGATTCTTCATGTGAACTCGCAGATTCTGGATTGTCCACAGTAAGTATTGATAAACATCAGGATATTGTTACTGACAACACAAGAAATGTATCTGTCTGTGGAACATCAGTTTCTCTGAGTCCATTTGATGCAATGGCATTGACATCTGCAGAGGAGAAACAATACCATGGTAATATTGATGATCACAACGAGAGAATTGAAACATTGAAAAATGATTCCCCAAGTAGTAACCAAGTGACTGCAGAAATAAGTGAAATGCCAATGGTTATCAATAGGGACAATGATGGTGAATTTGACAGCAAGGAAAAGGAGGAGAGTGGAAAGAGGGAGGGAGAAGGGGAGGAGACTATAGGAGACAGTAGTTACAGAGGGGAACAGGTTGAGCTGTCATTCAGTGCCAGGAATAGAAAAGGGCCTGCAGGCCACAGCCCAGCTCTCTCAAGTCGAGACCCAAAGTCGGGAATTCCAGCTCGCTGTTATTTTGAGTCACCCCCAACAACTCTCCAGCAACAGAGTCAGCTCAGAGCTCGGGGCTCACATCAAGAGAACAAGGGTGGCGCCAGAAGGCTCCGGTCAGCTGCCCAGGGTAAATACAGCAGTCCAGGCTTTTTTCCTCCTGAGTGTACTGGCGAGAACTCCATCATGGGAAGTGAGTTTGATGAAGCAGACAATGAAGTGAAGTGGTTTACAGATCTGGCCTTCAGAAGCCTGTCTAGCCCTCAGGTGGATTATTTGGATGTGTACAACTCAAGCCACAGGTCATCAACGAATGTTTCTCAGCCATCAACTGTAGACAGCCCTGGTGCTGTCGCATGGATGAGCTATGCAGATTTACGTGGTTCAACGTTACATGAAAATGATGGCTATGCATTTTTACCACGTGATGGCCTGGACCCAAACAAACACTTTGAAATGGGAAATTTTGAATGTGTGGATGTTGCTTTAGAGAACAAGGAAGAATCCAATAAAGGAAAAAGGACTGTACCAAAAAGGCAGATTCAGCTCTTAAGGCGTAACACAGATGAAGCAAAACCGAATGGGAATACTGAAAATGTTTCTACTTCACCCTCTACACACAGACACTCAAGGGACACAATTGTTCGTCAACACAGCACACCAGCTTTTGTTCAAGAGAAGGTTTTCAGGGAGGTTCCAAATTCACCACAAAGTGACAGGAAAAGGACATTGCAGAAATCTGTGTCTCTAGATGATGGCTCCCCTAAGACGCAAATGGCGTCTTGCATTATCAAGAGTGTGTTGTCTAAGAGAATGCAGGATGTGCAGAAAGCTACACCAAAAAGTCCCAAGTTCGAAGACCCAAGTTCGTCTGGAGATAAAAACAAACATGATGATATTAGCCCCAGCTTTTTTGATGATGTACCAAGTAATACAGAGAAGCATAGCTTAAGCTCTAGCCAGCTTTCCGAATGCACTCTTTCATCTGAAGAATTTGCTGTCAGAGAAGAAAGAATTCCACAACAGGTTAAGAAGTGTGCCCCAAAAGTTCCTCCAAAACCTTTGTTCAGACCTGCATTCTTTAATGAAGAAACAAAACCTATAGTGTCCTCTCCACCGGCTGATGAAAAAGTACTTATGAAACACAACAATAAGACTGATGAAAAGGAGGGAGGAGGTGACAACCACGAAGAGAAATACAATTGTGACTCATCAAATGCCAGTGTCAGGAACACAAGTCCTGCTACTGCCCCTCCAGCAATAAGCATGCAGAACAAAATGACAAGCAGAGACAAAAAGCATCAGATGACAACAGAAAACCAGGAACAACTGCCTGCAAAGAGTGTATTTATGTCAAAGACACCAGAAATTACTTTGAAACCTTCCGCTATCAAAGGAAAAAAGACTTCTTTGAAAGTGTCTTTATCCCCTGACCTGGAACAATCTAGAGAAATATCTAAAACTAAGTCAGTGGAGAAAGCTCCAGAAGATGTGAGCACCAGATGTACAAAAGCCATGGAGATGGAAGAAGTTGATGACATCAACAAAAAGTCTGTTATACACAAAGTTAGGGATGTAAGAAAGTTAGTAAAAAACACATACAACCTGTCTTTCAAAGCGTCGAATTCAACCTCTACTGCAGAAGAAATTGTTGTTCAAGAGAAAAAAGAAAAGCCACCACAAACTCCTCCAGCCTTGCTCATTGAATGTAAAGCCATCAGTTGGAAGGACAAACAAACACCAGGCAGCAAAGCAATCCAATGGCATGATGAAAAACAGCCTGTTGACATATCAAAAATATCACAACCACGGGTGGGTGCAGAGACCAGAAGAGATGCTGACATCACTGAAATACCTTCCAAAGGCTCATCACTAGATACTGAGCCACAACAAAAAACTTCAGATTCTCTCTCTGAAACCATAGATGCATCAGAATCTGTAATTAAGAGACCTTATGTTCACTGTGATCCAAGTGCCAAGATGCCCCCTAGACCCCCCAGCAAGGAGAGGGAAGTTTCTGCTATGGTGGTTTTGCCAAATAGCATTCCCAAGGCAAAGACATTTGACACTTCAATCCCTGCCTCCACTCAAATGAAAGGTACAAACAGCAGCCATTCTGTATCAATGCTACTGAAAGAGAAAGGGATGCAGGCTGATATTGGAGTTTGTGACGTTCATACCGAGGGTGCAAGTTCTAGAGCTAAACATATCAACAGACTTGAGGTACCTGTACAAGCCTGTTTATCAGAAGGAATTTTAAATGAAGCACAAGTAAGGGCAGACAATACAGCAGTGCCTTGCAATTCATCAGTTTTTGTCAACAATTATTCAAGGACAGCCAGACAAAGTGAGAGTCCCAAGGGAACACTGTCTGAAGAATCTTTGACAAAGGAACAAGAAAAAAAGAAAATCACCACAACTGTAACAAAAATTCCAGCTTATCTAGCAACATCTGGCAAGCCAGAGGTGAGATCTTTTTCAAGTAATACAAAAAATAACGCTACAACAGCGAACACATCAAAAGAGATTGAACTACCAATACAAGTAAGGTCAGTATCCACTGATAAAGTAAAGCCATTTGTAACACCAAAACTCAGCTGTAAACAGTCATTTGCTGAAATTAAGTCAGTGTCAAATGATCCACCAAAAACAGAAAAACAAGCATCATCTGTCATTAAACAGCAAACCAGATTGTGTAGTGAATCTAAGAAAAGTGAAACTCAATCAACACTAATACACAAGGATCAATTACATGACGCTTTATCAAAAGATACAAAAAGACTTGCTGTATCGGCTATATCAAGCTACAAACCACCAGCAACTTCAAGTACTGTGCAGAAATCTACTACAGTGACATTGGCCAGTCTGGATCAACAGCAATCATCTGCTGATATGCAAACCACCAGCACATGCCAACAACAGGTCTCATCGTTCAATCAAGATCACTCAGTGCCAGACGGGTCCTTTGTTTCTAACCAATTAGGATCGCAAACCCTTGGTGACACACAATCTGTGGCAAGAACATCATCTAATAATCATTTTCACAAAGATGACTATCTTTTCTATGCATCAGATGATCCCCCCAGTTATGATGAGAGAGAGAGTTTCAGCCCTCTGCGAGTGTCAGATTTGCCGCCACAAAGGCCATGCAAGTATCATCCATCCACTAAGCAATCTACATGCTCCTGCCCACCAGGATCCCAATCACATCAAGGACATCCTCATCACAGTCCTCTGGAACGGGTACCAGTAGCCTCTAGGTCTCCAGGCCAAGTTCTTACCTGTCCAGGAGCTCCCCCACAAGCTCAAGTTCGTCCTCATCAATGCAGACCAGATGGTCTTCAAGTCTCCAATACTTCAGTTCCCCATGCCTCAGCTTTGATTCAGCCTCTGCACAACCCAAGAGCTTGTCCCGCTTCAAATTCACAGTCCTATGTTAATGACCAGCCACCAACTTCTGGACTGCATGCGGAGAGGCGACCAGCTAATCATCCTTCACCTAAAGCTGCAGCTCCTGCTTCTTATCACGAATACTCTCATTCAAGTAACATGTCCGCTCTGGATCCCAGGTCTCAGTTATTTAATCCACAAGATTTGCCACCATCTTTTGGTCACGATTATGCAAATGAAGGTCCAGGTGGAGCAGGTGTGTTGTATCCAGAAAATGCTAGTGGGCTCAGCTGTGGCCAAGGTCCTCGTCGTGTCCTTCTGGATCCCGAGACTGGTAAATACTTCTACATTGAGGTTCCAATGCAGCCACTCAGAAAAATGCTATTTGATCCTGAATTGGGACAGTATGTGGAAGTTCTCATACCGCAGCAGACAATGCCACACACAGGGATGTACCCACCAGCTGTACCACCTTACTCTTCTTTGCACAGTCCTGGGTTGTATGCACCACAGTACCTACCTTATGCAATGCCATCTTTCCCAGCAATCCCAGGCAATGCCCAGCAAGGTCGCCATCCTGAACCACCATCTGTCCCAACAACACTTCACCAGACTTCCTTAAGGTATGGAAGCCCTGGGGGCCAAATGCCAAAAAATGAAGCCAAAGGCCACTCGTTGCTGGATCAGGGCTATCTAGAAAGCATGTATTACATGCCAACTGGGATGAATGCAAGCCCAAACTCAACCGCTTCAGACTGTTACCACAAACCATCTTCAAGTATGCCTCCTTCAGGGGGAAGAAGAGCATGAAACAGCAGCAGATACATTTGTAATCATTTTTTCTGTTTGCTCTTTTTCCTGAAATATGATATAACATTGTCGTCATTTAGTAATATAATTTCACTTTCATTTATATCACCTCACCTTCCTTGTATAGGCCAAGTTTATTCAGTGATGGGCCTTCTTTTCCAAAAGCTGCCATTGTTCAATCAATAGTGTTTCCCTTGAACACTGTTAAGTTATATAAGCGGATTATGCAGCTATAATATTAATGTGTTTGATCTTTTTACTTCTATTGAAATGACACTATTTATCAATGTTTAACATAACATGTAACTGCTTTGTGCAACACATTTAATGTACATATACTGTACATGTGAGTAGATGAAAAGAATGTGGATTAGCAAGATCCACTAATTCACTTGTATGAAAATCACAGACATTTTCTGTCATCAAAAGATTGCCATTTACTATTTTTTACACATGGATACACCCCATTAAAGTTCACTACAAAACTTACATGTCTGTTTTTTTAATATTTATGTATATATTTATTTATGATGTCAAATTAGCTGACATATATAAGCCATTTGACTAACATAGTGCCAATAATTGAATCTAATAATTATAATAATAATAATAATAATAATTGGTCTGCTGTCCTGCAGACTTTAGCTCACCTTGTCTCAACACACCCACAAGGTTGTTTCTAGAAAGCTTGGTAAGAGCTTGATTAGCTCGCCCATGTGCATCTGATTGGGATTGGAGCTAAAATCTGCTGGACACCGGACATCCAGAACCGAGATTGAGAACCCCTGACCTATAATATGCTTATGCCATGCCTAGTCCTTGTTGCATTTGTGCAACATTATAAGGCCCTTGGTAAAAGAAGGTTTTTTTTTTTTAATTTTCATAAATCTTGTGATATGTGACAACCACACTTGCCATCAAAACAATTAAAGATGACCCACTTTGAGTTTAGAGCCACTGCCAAACTGTTTAATTAATCTCAGGATGACACCTAGTGGACAGTTAACTCTCCTTGTCCATTTGTCTGCTGCCTTATTTTGAGAATGTTAGGTCTTCATTTTCCTTTGGCATATAGTCAATTTATTTATCGGGGTTGCCACAGCGGATTGAACCTACTTATCCAGCATATGTTTTACAAAGCAGATGCTGCAACCCAGTGCTGGGAAACATCCATACACACTCCTTAAAACACACACACTACGGCCAATTTAGTTTATTCAGTTCACCTATAGCACATGTCTTTGGACTGTTGGGGAAACCGGAGCACCCGGAGGAAACCCACACCCACACGGAGAGAACATGCAAACTCCACATAGAAATGCCAACTGACCCAGCCGGGACTCATACAAGCAACCTTGTTGCTGCGACAGTGCTTACCACTGAGCCACCATGTCGCCCCAAATGTTAGGTGTTGTACATGTAAATAATGTGCTTTTTAAGAAAAAAGAGAAATCCTGGCTTCAAGCTGTAACCGTTGCCATAAGCAGTCATATTTATGCAGCTGTGCATAATTAATAATGGCCTATTTGATTTAAATGTAATTTTTTTTGGCTGAATTGTCAGCTGAATAATGCAAGTCACACGTATTCTGGGTGTTTTTTGTATTTGGGTGTTTAACGCGGCTGGCGTGACAGAATGGACCACCATGGTCTTAGTAGTGACGTTTTGTGAAAATCTTTCCTCTTATTTAAACAAACAGTTCGGTCTTCTCCTTGGTCTCCAACTACAACCGCACCCAAAATGACTGCATTCGATTTGTATTTGATACTCTAAGAAAAGCTTTGTGGGGGAGAGAGCCTTAACCCTGTTTGTGAGGTGTTCGACTGAATCCACCAAGGTATATACATGTCTGCCTATGATGTCATTTGGGATCCCTGGAGCAGACAGCCAAGGGGAGTAGAGTGGAAATAAAAATGAGAGTGTCTAGTGGCAAGTTTTGTGCTGTTGAATGAACATGAGATGCCACAACTTAAAGGAATAGTTCTCCCAAAAATGAAAATTACCTCATAATTTACTCACCCTAAAGCCATCATTGGTGTGCATTGACTAGGGACCATGTGTCCTGACATTTTATCCTACCCATCTGGTTATGCTACCAACACTGCAATTGAATAATTTTAAGGTTAGGTATTAGGTAGGTTTGGGCGATATTACAGCTTCATATCACTCTACTCCATGTTAAAATTTACACTGGTAGCAAAATCTGACAGGTAGCAAATTGCGTCATCAAAATGTGCTACCTTCTTTTTGAATGGGAGGTAGGACAATCTGACAAGGTAGGATAAATGAGAATACCGGGGCTGTGTGGTTGTGCATTATTCCCTCATAGCAAACTAAGAGGGACATGGTTAAGAATGTTGTATCTGAAGTTGTCACATCAAAAGAGATGGACTACCACTCCAAAGCAGAAGCTCGTGGTCAGATTTAGTTGAAGATTATCAAAGAAAAAGAAATTCAGTGGAATAAATTGCACAGATTAATTGTTTGCCTGAAGAATAACAATGTGTGCTAGTACTATTCAAACATTTTCTAGTGAAAGAGCTCTTTAAAGTCTTATATATATATACAGTTAAAGTCAGAATTATTAGCCCCTTGGTTTATTTTTTCCCCCAATTTCTGTTTAACAAAAAGAAGATTTTTTTTAAACACATTTCTAAACATAATAGTTTTAATAAGTGTTTTATGTTATCTTTGCCATAATGACAGCACATGATATTTGACTAGATATTTTTCAGGTCACTTCTTTACAGCTTAAAGTGACATTTAAAGGTTTAACTAGGTTAACAAGGCAGATTAGGGCAATTATGCAAATCATTGTATAACGATAGTCTGTTCTGTAAACTATCGCAAAAATATAGCCTAAACTGGCTAATAATTGTGTCCTTAAAATGGTGTTTAAAAAATTTAAAACTGCTTTTATTCTACCCAAAATAAAACAGATAAGACTTTCTCCAGAAGAAAAAATAGTATCAGACATGCTGTGAAAAATTTCTTGCTCTGTTAAACATCAATTGGGAAAAAGGGGGGCTAGTAAATTTGACTTTAACTGCATTTATTATATATATATATATATATATATATATATATATATATATATATATATATATATATATGTGTGTGTGTGTGTGTGTGTGTGTGTGTGTGTGTGCGCGACTTTAAAGAGCACTTTCATTTGAAAATGCTAGAAAAACATTAGGAGAATTATTGTTATTACTATTATTTAATCAAACTATAGCATAAGATCCACAAAGAAATAGCACTAAAATACTGTAGTATTAATGCTATTAGCAGTAATACTTGATACTAGTGATACAATTAAGACTACTTAATTAGTAATACTAGTAATACTGAATACTAAAAATATTTGTATTACCTGGACTATAATATTGTATTAATATTAGTTATGATTACAAAAGCAATTTATATTACTACCAATAATGAATAATTTCTTTCCTTTGCTTTTGAATGTTAAACCATTTAGCATTTATTTTTTATAGGCGTATATAGATACATGCATGTGAAATAATAACTTATTTTGCTTTGTGAGATTATCAATTGTCAATAAATAAGTTTGATAGTCATTTTGGTAATATTCAGCTGGTTGACCATTTACAAAGATGTTTTTTAAAAGAGCCAGGTATTGTAAAAAAAAAAAAAAAAATTGTTGGACTGACAAACTGTTTAACTTAGAAATTCCAAGTATATTTAACAATAGTAACACATATATTAGATGCACACTTTCCAATAAATAAAGTAATATTTACCAATGTAAAAGCACTGTCATCTCACAGCAAGAAGGTCATTGGTTCGAGTCCCGGCTGGGTCAGTTGGCATTTCTGTGTGGAGTTTGCATGTTCTCCCCGTGTTGGTGTGGGTTTCCTCCGGGTGCTCCGGTTTCCCACACAGTCCAAAGACGTGTGCTGTAAGTGAATTGGATGAACTAAATTGGCTGTAGTGTATGTGTGCGTGTGTATGGCTGTTTTTCAGTTCTGGGTTGCAGCCGGAAGGACATCATCCGTTGTGTAAAACATATGCCGGAATAGTTGCCAGTTCATTCCACTGTGGCAACCAATGATAATTAAGGGACTAAGCCAAAGAAAATCGAATAAAAGTAGAAATAACACTGAAATAACACTTTCTGAAAATATCCTCGAATAAACTTTATTTCTAACATTGAAACATAATTTTTGGTAAAGTTGCTTTAATAGGAACTGTTTTTATAACTTCCTTTTTTTTTGTAATTAAACGCTTGCCAGGAAATACCAGAAATTATTAACCTTTTGCCCTTATGACATCCTCAGCAAGGCTCTTAACCTGAGGCTGCTTCAGGCATTCTGCAGAATTTTTGCCTGACATTTCTATAGCACTTCTGTAGCCCCTGACATTTTTTGTAGCACTTTTCTGACTAAACTGAGGAAGCAACACCTTAAAAGAGTTTGATTGTTCTTGTGAAGTGAGTAAATGTTATTGCTACACAACAGCACGTTAGTCATAGACTCGTAAACCGAGCAGAAACGTTAACTTTGTCGTCTGAGGGGAATGACCAAATATGGGCGCGTTCCATCAGCGGAAGCCAGGCATGAATGAACCTGTCCAGACACCGTGTACATGCGGGACGGGCGATCAGGTGCGCAGGTATTTCCGCGACCATTTCGTTCGAGTCATAGCAAGAAATGAAGCAAACAATACCTCCCTCTGCAGAAGGTGTAGTGCAGACTGTGTTGAGGGGCCAGCAGGTGGAGCAGTCATTCTCACAAACACCACCATAACCGAGAAACAGCAGCTTCACCTGCTTGTGCTTGACTGTTGCGTTTCAGTTGCGTCATTTTTTCATTCAGACATTTGGCCTATTTATCAACCACGTGCACATACAGTACACTTTGACTCTATAACTATTTGGACCAATAGGCTACAAGCCACACTTGGAAAAATTTGTTATTTTTGTAATCTCCTGATATATTTATATAATTTTGCAATATGTTAATGGGGCGACACAGTGGTTAGAGCTGTCGCCTCATAGCAAGAAGGTTACTGGTTCGAGTCTTGGCTGGGTCAGTTAGCATTCCTGTGTGTTTGTATGTGCCTCTGAATACTCTGGTTTCCCCCACTAAACTAAACTGGCCGTAGTGAATGAGTGTGTATGGATGGTTCATTCCGCTGTGGTGACCCCTTAGGAATAAAGGGATTAAGCCGAGGGAAAATGAATGAATGTTTTGAAATGCAAATACCACTATATATTTTTTTTTTTTGCTATATTTATTTTTTATCTTTAAATACTTTTGACAAAACAAAACTGATATAAATCAAAATGAATTGGAGTAAACAAACAAAATATATAAAAATGAAAACAGTAAACAAAACAGTACACGGTGACCCCAAAATCTACTTGGACACATAGGCTCACACTTGGAAAATGAGTTATATATTTGGAATCTTCTGATAAAAATAAAATGTTTGCAATATGTTTAAAATGTTTGTGATGTTTGTTT